CCAGTGTGGCATGGTCCAGTGTGGCATGGTCCAGTGTGGCATGGTCCAGTGTGGCATGATCCAGTGTGGCATGGTCCAGTGTGGCATGGTCCAGTGTGGCATGGTCCAGTGTGGTATGGTCCAGTGTGGCATGGTCCAGTGTGGCATGGTCCAGTGTGGTATGGTCCAGTGTGGCATGGTCCAGTGTGGCATGGTCCAGTGCGAGATGGTCTACGGTTTCAAATGTAGATATGATAGAGCTCAATAACCTCAGGAACGTGAACATAAAAATATTCCTTATAGAGGAGAATAGAGCTCAATTAGCTCAGGATTGACAGTCTACAATCTACAACAGTAGACTGACACCAGTAGACTGACAGTTGAGAGGGGGGGGACCAAAGAGCCGAAACTCAACCCACGCAAGCACAAATAGAGTAGTCCAACAAGGTGAGTACCACCCCAATGCCCCTCCTATACGAAATCTAAGAAAGTGAAATGTTCTTTTTAAAGTCCGTAGAGTTTAACGTGAAATTCACTAATTCCGTTAAAGACTTAGAAAATCTGTGTTCAAACGAGATTTGCCTTCTTTTCAAAACCTTTTCACTAAAGCGATTGATATAGTGCATATGACAAAATAGTTACATTGATGGTGGAGATCGGAGGAGATCGGGAGGGGGTGTATGAGCTGGGAGGGTGAATCGGGAGGAGGTATGTGAGCTGGGAAGGTGGAAACTGGAAGGGCGTGTTTGAGCTGGGAAGGTGGAGATTAGCAGGCCTTGTGTGACCTGGAAGAGAGGAGGCAGGGAGTGTGTGTGTGTACATGAAAGGTAGAGATGGGGCGGCATGCGTGTGAAGAGAAGATGGAGACTTGTAGGGCCTGCAGGGAGAGTGCACACGGAGAGAGCAAGAGTGTGCTGAGAGGAGACAGAGAATATACTATGTGCTGGGGTGCTGGGAGGAGACAAGAAGGGTGTGAGTATGCTGAGAGGTGACGGAATGGCCATGTGAGTTTTGGCAGAAGGCGGGGAGGATATATGGGTGGTGGGTTGAACCGGGAAGTGTTTGTGGGGTGTAGGGTAGACTAGGGGATATCCAACATACTGCCCCAGCCTTCATTGAAACATAGGATAATGGAAAGCTGCAGTGAGCCTATTGGCTCAAAGAGAAGTAATTCACTTCATTACCAGTCATATATTCTGCTGTTCTAAAATTGCATTCACTTGTGATTTGCCATTGAAAAGGTTAATAATGGTCAATAAAACGCATCTCTTAGCGTCAGGCCATATTAACACTGCAAACCCAACTTTAAAGATATAATTTTTTAACTTCATTCTCAAGTGAATAAAAACAAGGAAAATAAAGAAGACTCGTGCTAGAATCAATGTTCTCAGCCATACTGTCTTATTAAATACTATATGTCTTCAAGAAAGACCGTTAGCTACCGTATATATATGGAGACACTCAGACAAGCAGACTTGCAGACAGGCAACAAATAAATAATTCCGTATCAGCGACAAACTGATACGGAAACATACACGTGCATACACATACAGAGACAGACTGACGGAGACAGAAATAGACAGGGATAGAGAACCAGGAACCCCTCAAACCAATCCTGTACCCACGTCCTGAACATTCGTTATCCGGGGACGTGAGGCACTAAAGATTCTCTCTCTCTCTCTCTCTCTCCCTCTCTCCTAGCTTCATTTAGGCTCATTCCAGCACAGAGACGACTTTGGCGACGTAGTTTACAGACCGTGAAGTTAATGGCCGGTTACATAGAAGTCATACGCTAGTGCAATGCTCCTTCCTCGTCGTATGTACCAAGAGGGTTTACGAGGTAATTGTAGATACATGCAAAGACCTTGTCTGGCCTCTTGCTTTTATCGCCTAACCAGCCAGTCTCCAGTCAGCAAGGAGCTGGCTGTTGGAGGCCCATCTCCAACAGTGCCAGCATGACAATGTAGCTCACCCGGTCCTCTGCCTATAAAGAAGCAGTTTAACTTCATAGCACACAAACATGCAAATTCTCAGAGAACGGGAAGAGGAATTTAAAATTGTTCTGTCCTATGTACAATGTAATGGAATATTGACCCAATGTAGCGGGTTATTGACCCAAATGTAACGGAATATTGACCAAATTTAAAGAGATATTGACCAAATGTAATGTGAGATTGATCTAGTGAAATGGAATATGAACACGATACTCTAACGAGATATAAACATAACAATGTAACGCCGTATAAACATAAGAATGAAACGCGATATAAACATAGCAATATATCGGGAAGTAAGCATAACAGTGTAACGGGATAAAACATTACAATATAAAGGGATGAAAACATCAGTATATCAGGATACAAACAGAACAATAATTAACTGTTCCCTGAACTCGGATCTCACCCTAGGTTCATAAGATACGCCTCATCACATTGTGTTGACTTCGTTGATGAGTGGCTACCATTGCCCTCCTGATGAACAATAAACTAACATTCTGTTAATGGAGCAATTAAGTCAAGTGAGTTAGTACACATAATGGTCCTAGAGCAGATTTGCGCCCAGTTTCTTAGCTGCCTGTGTATGTTTCTTCGTTTCTCTTGGTGGTCAACATGTCTCTCACATGACAAACATATTGACTTTCACTTAGATGATTGAGTAGTTGAGGTGGGGCGTCAGGGGGAGGGAATTGGTAGAAGGGATGGGGCAATTATTAAGTGGTAACAATCCAAATTAACTTGCGGTGTTAGTTTCCTCTTAGTTCCCTCTTCTTATATTTCATACCTACCACTTGACAAGCTAAGGTTGTTTAGTCGTAAAAGGATAGGAATAAGAGAGGATTGAAGACAAACAAAGATTATGATAATTTTGATTACCACAAAACTTTTGAATTCTGCATTGTCTAATATTAATCGAAACAAAATGCCTTTTAAATTAATGGCAAAGATGGTCAAACATTGCTCAAAGGTAATTTTCTTTAATAATATAATATACATATGGAGCAGCTTTTCCAAATTATAGAATTTGCTGTAATAACAATCACTTCCTTTCAAAGTCATGCTTTATATTATTAATACCAGCATAAGCTTACCATAATCAAATTTGTTTGCATCTAATGATCTATTTTGTGAATTCATCTGTAATCTTTTGTAGTTCTACTGAGGAATCATCAAATTCAAGCAGAAACATTGGGTTTATTGGTCAATGATTCGATTTGTTATTTATCACATGCCTCATTCACTTCAGTCAAAATGTTTTCGGAATGCAACATTGCATGCACTTTTCTTCGTGAGACAAAATGGTACATTAATAGTTCCATTTAATAGATGTAAATATACACAGTCTTTCGGAGAAAATTTATGTGAAGATTTAATGGCATAATAAAATTTTATGAACTAAAAACATGGCATTATTGATTATAAACAAAATAGTTTAAATTTGCACGAACAAATTAGAAACATTTGTCTTATAATTTCAAAACATTTAAGTAAAACAATTCAAGCGTTACCAATACATGTGAAATTCTTTACATAATTATTACTAGTTTAAAACCATGCATATGTTTGAGCTCTTGGCTAATACAATACATACACATGATATTCGAAGCTAATATCATATATACATTTAGCACACCTGGCTCTGCAAAGCATCAATTTGTAT